TTTACCAAGGTTTATCGAGGCCACTTTCTAGACCATACTATATTTTCTTTTTTCTGAGCAATTTCTGTGTTTTTTGGCCAGTAACCCATATGATGGGTTACTTTTTAAAATTTAGACTTCCTTTACAGCACACACAAAATATGCAGCTATTGGTGAAAATCATCTAGCTCCTACTAAGCTCTGTGAGCACAGCTCAAGCTTTGCAAGGAAAATTAACAATACATTCTTTTGGCTGCCTCGAATTATTCAGAAAAAGAGAAAAAAAGCAACTGTAAGAGTACTAAAACTAAGGAACATCACTGTAAGATACACACTGTCGCATATGAAAGGCCTCAGGATGTAAAGGGAACAACACAAAACACTGAAACAAAGTCTGAGAAGTTAGAAATGCCAAAAAGCAATTGAAACTGGACCCACTGCACCCCTTCTTTGTTGCTTCTGGTGTGTCAGTGCACCCAAAGGCAAGCAGGGGAGTCACCAGCGGTGTCACTGAGCAGGGATTCAGGTATCTGGGTCAGGTTCTTGGTTCTGCCACACACCCCTGCTAACTTAACTGCTCGATGCCTCAGTTTCCCCCGGTACAATAGTGCGAACAATAACAACATGGATTTGGAAGCATTTCACACACATTTCACCCATCATCAAGCCTGCAAGTTCTGATGGGGCTGGTTACATCTCTCAGATGGCCACAGAGTCTTTTCCTTCTCCTGCCCTCTTCATGAAAGCCTGCAGGATGCACGACCTGTCTCTTTAAAGCATCTTTACCTAATGCCTTGTGCAGAAGACACTGAGATATAACTGTAGTTTGGATAATAATACATTTCACTGCAGCTATAAAGCAATGGGAGCCATAATTTCTTTGAACTCTGGGTCAGACTTGTTGTAAGCCAAGTCTGTAAGAACTCGTATAGTAAATTATATATATCTCTTTACCAGCAGGATCATAAAATAAAACTTTACAGTCTTTCAGCAGGTCAGGGTTTTGCAACAAACAGTTAGACAAAATAACAAATTCCACCCCTGAGACCACCGTTTTTGCAGTTTCTGTAGTTTCGGTTAGATTTGAGGAAATGAGAACTTTGATGGTCTTTATACAAAATCTTCCTTATTTCTCCTCTGGATCCAACTCCCAATTCTCCCCAAGCTTAAGGCAAAAGCTCAAAGAACAGCAATAACTGTTGTTGGTTTCAGCAGCAGGAAAGTCTCACTTATCTCTATACACACATTTAACAGAAACGACGACCAAAGTGTTTCTTGGCAAATGGGTCCCCTTCATCCCCAAAGAAGAACACATCTATAAGCTATTTCCCCTAACAATCAATATTAGTCTAGCACAACTATACATTAAATATCCCATCAAAGTCTTGGCCTTCCCTCCAACAACTAATGGGCTGTAAACCACAACTACTGCTGAAAAAAAAAATGGTTGCACTGCTGTTTTATCCCCAGCATTGTCCTCTCAATGGCTCTGCCTGATTTTGGAAGCCCATGGACCCCAGTTGTCCATGTTGTTGGTTCTTACCTCAAAAGCTCGGGGTGAGGACAGACCTCAGGGTGCTGCTGGCTGCCGCAGGAACCGAAACTTCCAAAAAACCTGCCGAAAGGATGCTGGTTACCTGTGTTTGAGCTGAGCACTTACTGCCTTCACACATCCCATAATGAGCTCCTGCATTCAGGCCAGGAGAGGATTCTTATATGCAAAGGGCAAGAGGTTCTTACTTGAAGTGTCAAGAGTTTTTACTGGGCTTCGACCACTGCAGGAAGCCAGAGTTAAGATATAGCAAGGAAACATTTAAGTCTGAAGAAATTATCACCGTATTTACCTGACTGCATGTCCAAATGAAATGGCCTCCTCTGTCCTCTAGATTGGCTTCCGCTTCATTCTGAGAGCAGATTCAAAGGAAATGCATGACATTCCAGATGGAAATCCCAGGCAAAACACAGCACATTCCTTGGCAATATCAACTGGCGTTACATATACACGTAGCACGAGGCAAACAATGCCAACCTTGAGCAAGAGAGTGACTCCCTCCCTCTCCACATGCCCCAAAATCAAGTTTTTCTCAAGAATACTGATGACAGCATTAACCTGAAGCAGTGCCATCACACAGGCTCTATCTACCCTTCCCTCCCTCAGACAGGCAAAGACTCTTTCCAAGCCTGGATCCCCTTTTCTTCTCTCTTGAGAGAGCTTTCAGGTGGTTTCTTCCAGTGGGAACCACTCTGCTTTCCTTCTGCTGCTGCAGCCATGTCTTTAGGGACAGTTTTCAGGCCAATGCTCCTAACCTCAACCCTTCCCATGAGATCTGCCAACTCACCGGGTGCCTCTGAATGTAGAAGCTCACGTAGGAGACCAGGGAGTCTGCTCCTCTTGGACTGATGGTCAAACGCAGCCAGATTCTCTCCGAGTGCAGCCTTGCTGCATCTTTGTTTAAAATCTGCCTTTCTACAATGGCTCAAAAGCAGTTAAAGCACAAAACTCCTTTCTGACAGTTCTTCGCACGCCTGCCTGCAAACAAGACAAAGGCTCAACCTTTTCAATATATCCTGCAGAAAACTCTTCTCCAGGTGAAGAATGAAGGGCGGATCGCCCCAGCCCTCTGCTCTTGCAAGCTGTCACCTCACAGGGGCCCGGACAACTGCTTGGCAAGCCCATTTCAAACACTCCCACTGTTCTTCCCTTTAACTTGTCACTCACCCCACACCATCCCACAGCTTTCTGCCACCTCCTATTATCTTCTTTTCCACACCTTGTTTATTTTTTTTATCCTGTAGCTGTTTAGCCCCACCCGGCCCATCAGACTCCTTGCTGAGCCATCACCAACCTCCTGAATTGTGGTCCTGAGAACAACTTGCTCATGCCAGCAGCTACCCAGCTACTCCAAAAGTGCTCCAGGGATGACAGTGGCCAGGATACTGCTCTGCCACCCCGTTTTCAACGGAGGGGCTTCCAGGTCTAACCCTCTTGTGTAATTATAGCATCTATGCCAAAATAATCAATAAGGACCCCTTTATAACTGGTGGTTATTTAAGAATGTGGTGGGCAAGGGGCTGTTGGGCAGCTTTCCACTTCTTTCTGCTGAAAGAACTTGTTCCAAAATGTAAGGCCTGAGCTTAAGCAGTGACGGCCCACACTAAGAAAACCTGTTAAAAGCAGAGATGGTCCAAACACACACAGATACTTGGGTATCTGATTTAGGAACTTCTCAGTGGTTTCAAAGACCAGGCAGATGCTTGAACCCTTTCGTGGAACCAGACTTTTTGGCCCTGGCTGTATTGGAAACCACAAACGAGTGAATGCAGTTAACACCTGCCCACTTGAGCGGAGGAAGAAGATATGAAAGAAATCTGAACATGCAAGAGATGCCTCAACACATGCAAAAAACCACCCCAAAACAATGATCTTGTGGTGAAGTTTTCTGCCTGACTGTAATACGTGTGAGCCCCAGCCACGGACCAAAGTGAAACATGGCAGGTGCCACACTACATAAACACATATTATTATATACTGCAGGTGCAGCTTTATCCAGCCCTACCAGAGAGAACTGGGACTGCAGTATTATCAGTGCAGTGCTATTTGATTACTGTTTTTCAGGCTCTTTCATCTGCTCTGAAGAAAAGTCTTTAGGGTTGTTCTGCAGCCACTTCACATTGTGTGTGCTGATTTACATCAGGTTCATTAGCAACAAGGCTGTTACCTTGGAATCCTTCCCTCTTTACATATTGTTTATACCGCTGCAATCTTGGGCTTCTTGGGAGCAAGCACTATGCAAATGACCACTGGTGATAACTGAGAAGGGAAGGATGCTGGAAAACCTCAGTTCAAGTCCCAGATAAACCACTGGTTTCCAATTGCCTTAGGTGAGTCACCTGATCTGCCCTCAATCCTGTAATCAGAACAAAAATGATTATTTTTCTACCTGGCAGGGAGGCTGAGAGCACAAATCCATTAAGGACTGCAAGGCATTCAGATCCTATGGTGATAAGCAATTACTTAATACATATGCAATAGCTGGGAGCACATGTTGGTTGTTTTGAAATACAGACAAATGTGCTTGGCCAGATAAGCATGTATTTTCTCAATAACAACAACAAGCCAAGCAACCATAACAACAAAAAGAGCCCCCTAAGCTGCGAGTTGGCTTTGGGGATATGAATGAACCTCATCTAACTGAACATTTCTTTCAGCTATGACCATGTGCTCTCTTGGAGACAGAAAACAGATACCTCCTGCAGGAGCTGTGCAGCTAATGGGGGCACATGGGAAAGGAAACATCTATCAAAGAGCCTGTAGGAACCATGATGCTGCTGGGTGCCACAGTTTTATGACAGAAGAAGAAACCATACAAGGTTACAAAACAACTCTGTGTGCATTTTTATTGATGATTCACAAAATCAAACATCATAATCTCCTAATTCACTCCTGCAGTTACAGGATGATGTTTTTCCTTGCAAGGTTTGGCTGATTTTTTCCAAGGTAAACACAATTTGCTTTTAATTCTGGGTGGGGAGAATCATATTTTATTGCTGCCCTTTTGTAAGAGCAAGTGCATCAGGGCAACGTCAATACTTCGTAATTTTATAACACTCCATCTTCGAAGCACTGAGCAGGCATTTAATTAAAGCCTATTAAAGCCTCACTGCAGCCCTGGCTCCCAATACGTTTTAGGACACACCTCCTTATTAATATTTCACATAAAAAAAATCCACTACCTCCCAACAATGCTTATTCAGTACTTCCAGGGCTCGTGCTGCTCTCATGAGAATCTTAACCCTTTGGTTAAGTGGGATTTATTAATACTTGGAAGTGCACTGAAGACATGAACTGTTGCCAAATTAACTGCAAGTGTGCCTCCATAATCCTACCAGAAAATATATGATTTTCAATAACTGCGTGTTACATTACCCAAATTCCACTAGTATAAAAATTCTTTTGACCTCCCAATAAGTTATGACACTTTGTCCTGTGCTAACGGGTTAGATGCACATGGTCCGTTTTCTCCGTGTGTGTCAACTGCGGAGCTACAGGAGACAGGAGTGAGAAAACCTGGGGAAAGGAATGACATCCTTGATATTGTCCACTCCCAAGAGGTACTGCAGGTAGCGTTCAAACCCCATTCCGAAGCCTCCGTGAGGAACTGAGCCAAATTTTCGGAGGTCTAGATACCTGCAATTTAAACAAAAAGTTACATTTGTAGCACGGTTACGCTGTTGAAATGAAGAGTTTCTTTCTTAGTTTTGCCTTCTGTCTTAATTGCTTCTTTGAGCCTGTGCATTTCTGCCAACACAGACTGCACCGGTCAGGGGTGCCAAAAGGGGCAACTCTCTGACAAGCAAAATAGCACGAGCCCCACATGCAAGTTCATTTCAAGCAGCACAGCTCTGCTTCTGCCAATACACTCCAGCCTGTTTCCCTGGCATGCAAAGAGCAGAGCTCTGCTCACATAAGGGGAGTTTCAAATCCAGACATGAACGTTTCCATCATCAGAGCTGGAGTCACCTGCTCGGCTCTGGCTTGTCCTTACCGTGGTGCAATCTGCCCTGCAACAGATTCTACCATTTTCTGCTGAGTTGTCTTTTCAATAGTCCAAGTCACTTCATTTCCAGTAATTTCTTTAGACTTGTGCATTGACCAAATAGGTCTTGCTGTCTGCTAAAATACTCCTTCAGCTTTTTTTATTTTCCTTTTAAGATTATTATGAGGCTTTTAGTTACTTTCACTTCAATCACTCTTACAGCCTGATTCATTTATTTCCACAAGTGGTCAGCAAAAAATCTTGGACATAGCTTGTCCAGAATTCAGCCCTGGAATAAGGCATTTTATTTTGGAGAAAAGTACCTGATGCCCACAGAAATCTCAGCTCCTTAGTCTGGAAGCAGATTTTCCAAATTTATGGTTGTTAACCTATGGCTGCAATGTGATGGTTTTACTTTAGACTTCCCTGTTCCCCAGCTGGACTCTATCTGATGTGATGCACTAGGTTTGTAGCTATAAATCTTCACTAATAGCTTTATTTTTATTTTCATGGGAGGAAAAAAAACACCTCAATGGTTCTGCTGATTTATGGAGTCAAACTTTAGCTTGCCCAGGCCACAAAATTGTTATTCTTTACATGAAGGCACTAGTAGGGGACTGAGTCACTCGAGGTTACTACACGCTTCTGATCTTGTATGAACATTTCCTCATCTCTTCTTTTTTTTAAAAAACAAGTACATTTAAATACATATCAATAGTGTCAGTCTTTAAAAAGACACTTTGCTGTGGTCTTTGATGGGAGCTTAAGCTCACAAGCTTAAGCATTTTGTTTGATTGAGACCTCTATTTCAACAGAATGAAGACAAATAATGTGACTGATCTATTTGCAGAACAGAAATACAGTCTCCAGCAAGGAGGGCTGCAAGAGGTTACTCTGACAGCTCAGCTTGACAGCATGCCTTTTAGGTCATGAAATATTATTTTCCCTTACAATTCATTAACAGTAATAAAGTTTGGGAAGTCATTTCTTGCAATCAATCCAATCTTCAGTTTTTTTCCCCATTTTTTCCACCTCCTTTCCACTGCTGCTAGTAGTAACCCCAGAAGCAGAACTTCTCACCCGCTCACTGACACAGAAGGGCAGTGTTGCCAATGCTGCAAGTTGGACAGGCTCAAGGGCAGCCACTTCATGACTGTTGGACAAACACAGGCACCTACGGAGGTAGCGGGCGCTGCTCCGGGGAGCTCATCCTTGCTTTTTTAAGGATTTGCAAGGAAAATGATGCTCAAAGTTGATACTGCGAAAGATCTCACAAATCTGAGGGACTTGGGTGCAACTGGCAAACTGGTGACAACTCTAGCTGCAACTAGGAGTTTAGAGCATGGCACAAGCACAGGCGATGAAATCAGGGAGTGCGGCTCAGTGCAAGGAGAGTTGAGACTGAGCCCAGCATCTTTTCTTCCTTTTAGCTGGCTCAGAGTTTATAAAGTCATTGTAAAAGAGATGAAACAACTCAGCCTCTTCCCGATGAACAATAATGAATTCTGCCCTTATCCAATGCTTTCAGCCTGTAGATCTCAAAGCACTTTCTGAAGCCATTTTGGCAAAGAAAAAACTGAAACCAAACCCATTAAAGTTTAATGGAAAAGCCCACTGAGCTAAAAGTGCTGTAGGATGGGGCCTGTGAATCCTTTCGGATGAGCGTGCTTAGGAGAAGCAAAGGAACTGAGAAATTTTCCATTCTTCTCAGATGAAAGGAAGAGTAGCTGCATGCAGATACAGAGAAAACTCCCATTAGGCTGGAAACTGCTCCCTGAGGTTCTGTTCATTCAATAACCCCCAGACACTGGATGTTTCTCACCCCAAAACCATCCACAAAGGAGTCTTGCCATCTCTCCCAGTAACTCGTACTCCAGAAGCCTGAGCCCTCCATTGGCAACCAGGGGGTTGTGCAGCATTATTTCATGGGGGAAATATTTTTCCATGACCCTAGCCGGCCCCGGAGTTCATGTCCTAGACCTGGAGGACTGGTAGTTCTTCTGAGATTTGTATCTGACTAAACTATGTGCTGCAACAACATCCCCTGGCAGGGAATTCCAGGAGCTTGTTATGTGCCAAGTTAGAAAAGCATTTCCTTTCATCCATTTAAAAACCTGCATCCTTTTATTATCATCATAAGCTCCTGTGTTGCACGGCATGCACTACGAAGAGCAGTCTCTCTTAGTGACCATTCATAAGCAGAATATATTCTTTTTTTGTTGGTCTCCTTTCAAAACAAATATAAGCTTGGGTCTTTTATTTAACCCCCTGCTTACACTGAAGCCTCCTCACACAGTTAAAAGAAAAGCAGGGCTGAAGGAACAAAGACATCGCACAGCCCGTGGAGCCGAGTATTCCACAGGAAGGAAAAATACATTAACGTGAAAAACTTGGGGAATAAAACCTGCTAATGAAACGACGTGAAATTTCAAGGACTGTTTTGGGAGATGCGCAAAATATCACAAGTTTCTGGTGCCAAGGGAAACACCACCTTTGGTTTCACACAGCTTCTGCTCGGTTGGAGCAGAAGGGCTGAAGTCTCTCTGAGAAGTCCCAACGAAGACACCCAGGGAAGGCAAGGGCCAATTCTCATACAGATGTTGGTGGGGTCTGGTTTGGCACTGACCTTCTGCCTGTCTCCATACAGTCCAGCACGGAGTTCTGGGCTCTTCCATCTATTTAGCAGTGATAATAAAATGAACCTCCTGCCAAGGAGAGCTAAGGGCTATCTGTTTTTGCTGGACTCTGAGGAAGGTTAAAGGAAAATATTAGTTGTGTCACTGGATTAGAAGTGGTTCTCCAGGGTTGCTGTTTCTTACGTCCCATTTGATGCTCAACTCTTCCTCCCTACTTTGCAAAACAAGGACAAGGATCCAGCAGGATGCTCTGGCATTGAACTGCAAAGGAGATTAGAAATGGAGGAGGCCAGCACTGCTCAACCTTGCCCATGCAGAGCGGGGACAACGCTGAGATGACACAGAAACGTCTAATTCGAGAGAGATGAAACCTGGGGTCTGACATCAGGCTCAGGCCCCCCATATACAAGGCCATGTATTCCCAGAGATTTCAGCCTCTGTCCCCCAGGGCTAGCAGCCTAAACTGGCCAAAACACAGGAGGAAGGAGGCACAGAGACAGCGAGCGATTTCCCCATCCCATCTTCACAGACTGCCCTTGGATTAGCCAAGACCACAGTTTACAGTACTGGGCTTTTTGCTATTTACTGCTTGAAGGGAGGAGTCAGGAAAGACTGACCTCCCCGCTGAGGAGATGCAGGTGGTTCTGCACTTGTCCTTTACCTACCTTTTTGAAAAGTTTTCTGAAAGGCAGGAATGGGCAAAAGCCAAATAGGGTTTCAGATCATCAACTGCCTGCACGCCCAAGAATTCTGCATGCACGACACTTCTGGAGCACTTCTAGAGGTGCCACTATACCCTCATGCTCAGCAGGGAAGAAGACAGGCAGAAACAGGATATGGCAGCCTATAAAGGACTTCAAAAGGGACCGTGTTTCATACGGCTACCCCTTCAACAGTTAGCAAATATTATATTTAAAAGGAATGATTCAACTGTTCTGCAAAGATTCTGTGCGCCAGCCTTGGAGACTAAATTCAATCACTCAAATGGAGAAGACTGAATAGATGGATGCTGGCAAAGCCACCTGCCTCTTTTCTGTCACATTCCAGATCGAAGGGCAGAAGCCACCCACGATGCTTCTGTCCTGGTCCCTTCTAGCAGGCCCTGTTAAGGTGTGGGGTACCAACAGCACCAATCTTCTCTGGGAAGCTGCATCATCCTTGTTGGAGAGCAGGGAAGAGGGAGGAAAGAGTCTCTAGAATGTGACTGCGATAAATCACATGAAACTGCAAACTGCTGATGAACCAAGTCTTACTGTTCTCTCCTGAAGGAAATATAAGGCAAAACTGGACCATTTTAGTAGTGCTGCAAGGTTCCCTGACACTGGACACCAGAACTTCTCAGGCTGCTTCTTAGCATCTAACCCAACCACTGATCATTCTGGGTCAGGATAATCCTTCCATGCCCCGTATGCAAACATCTACATGTGCTAATGGCTAACTATGTTCCTCCAGGATAGGTGGTGCTAGCCAGAGTTAGGAGGAGAAAACCAACAATGTAGCCTGTTAAGGATCATCAGGGGTCCTGGGATATTTCTGAGTATTTCATATTAGTTCCAAGGGGACAAAATCAAAGAACAGATGCTAAATGGATTCAACTTGAAGGTTACCTCCTACCACAGGTTTGCAGTGTTGTAAGAACAGCTCTCTGCCAGCAGTCTTACCTGGGGACACACACACCAGCTCCAGTCTAAGTTCAACTCTATGGCTGTCTACAAATATTTCATATGAACAGAAGCTATGGGCTCAAATAAATTACAGAGAAAATTCCTGAAGGGATATGCTCTGCATTGGATGAAATGATACATCACATTCTGGCCCATAAACATAAACACTATAGGAAGACACAGTTTCTATATGGATGATACAAAAGTCTGCAATATACTGGGCCATTTCCAAATCATTTTATATTGTGGGAAGAGGAGAGGATGAGAATACTGTATTTATTCCACCTTTATCATGACAGTGTCCCTAATGATCATTCCAATACTGAAGAGCATTTGAACACACTCTTCTAAATTTGAAATTCTCTTGCACTGTTGCCCTCTCAGTATTTACGACAAAGTATATACAGAGAAACATTCTTCAAGAGGAGCATAAAAATATTGTCATTTTAATAGACTAGACCACTAATTCAAAGGTTGTTTTGTCTCCTCAGGAGGAGGGTTGCAATTGCTTCAACCATTTTGTCAGGGAAAATGTTTCGACCCAACTGCCCCGTCAATAGCAATAGGAGTTATTCATGGAGCTGCTAAAGGTCACAAACTGCTTGTGGTTCTGTGTCCTGTTTATCTCACACAGCAGTGGTCAGAATCTATTCAATTTTGTACACAGTTTAATGATTTAATATCAAAATTCACTGACAGGCTGTAAATTAATCCACTTTACACCATAATGACAGGAATGAATTGCCCTGTGAGTAGACAAATTGGGAAGATAAACTAAGTAACCTTAGATTAAATTTTGTTCAAATGAACTGGCTGTTCCATTTAGACTGGCAGCGATGGCAGGGCAAATGGGCCAAGAAATCTCCTCTGAGAAACAAGATCAAAACCAGAAACAGTTGTTTAAAGAGTCTCAAAGGAAGAAATACAACTTGCAGAACAAGATATTGTCTTACCATTGGTAGGTATCTGCGAGTCCCAACCTACGAATAATAAAAAAAACACTCTCATAAGGAAAACAACATAGTGGATCTGTAAAAACAGCACTTGCCTAGAAGAAAGTACTGCAATGAATTAAACTCAGTACAAAAAGTGAAACTAGAGGAAGACATGATAAGCTTCTGTGGATTCTGGTACTTGGTAGATGATCTTCAATAGATTCCTAACATGCTCCTCAAAATATTTAATTTTGGAAGCACACAGAGCCTTGTGCATAATCTTGATTTTAACCACGTTGGTAAACTCTGCCTGCGAATGTTTGCAGAGTACAGGCTTGCATATCATATTTACCAGGACACGCAGCCAGGTTTCATTTATGAGTCAAATGAGATTTTTGCCATGTGTGTGCTACAGAATGAGGCAAATTTTCTCCTTTTTTTAGTGCACAAAATTGCTAAACTTCCATTAATGTGCAAGCATTTCTGTAAAACTACTAAAATTTATTTCTAAATGCCACCAGTGCAACTCTGGGCCTTTTCCTGCCCTCACAGAATTGGTGGGAAGCTTTTCCATTTCTCTCAATGCAAAAAAGCCTCTGTAAGCCAAAAGAGGATTGGCTTCTCTAATCTTCAGTGCATAACAAATCTGTCCCTCACTAGGACTGTGAGAACTATTCCATGAAATGTGGACAAGGAAACAAGAATCCAGTTCTTCATCTCACAATTACACTGGCTTCACAAGAAGCAGGCTTGAAAGCAAGAAAAAAATATTTTGGCTCAGCAGAAGTGAGAAAACCTAAGAAAACCTGCGATAAGAGGTGTTACTTTTCCAGTCTTATTTTCCGGAACATCTTCAAGGCAGAATTGTACTTTAAGCCACCGAAGAATTATTTAAAGCAATTCCTATGACTTTTGTTTTTGTTAAATGAAAAAAAAAAAGTCTGTCTTTAACGCCCCCACAAGCACCTCTCATAGGCCCCCCATGCTTTGAGGGCAGTAGACTCCAAGATCTCACGGAGATTACTCCTTGGGTAATAACATCAAATGAAAAAGTGCACCAGGCACCTTGGCTTTAGCTGGAACATGTCTGTTTCTGGAGGGTTCAGAGGGAGAGCAACAAGCAATGTAGGGAGTACTATCTTCCTACACCATAAATTAGGAACTAATGTTCTGGTGATTTTAATTGCCCTGCCTTTTGGATTCATTACGCTGAAATGGATTTTGCTCTTCTCCACTGACTAGCTACATCTCTGTGAGTATGCAGCTGAACTGAGTGATAAAGTCATTCACAATGTGCAAATGACATTACTCTGGGATTAATCTTCCTCCAGAATTGCTTTGTACAAGTGTATGACTGGCACAAATTGACTCAGATGAGTAATGAAAGGTTCTTTTGAAAAGCGAGACAGAATCCAGGGGATAATTGTCTACGGAGGGTTCCCCATCTATAATGTCAATAACTGTTAACTAACTAGCAGATTTGAAAATGGGAGACTGAATTTACCTAAAATCACTCAGTCACACAAACCAGAGCACAGCAGCAGGGAAGGAGACTGTCAGAGAACCCAGATGACTCAGCACAGGTCCCATCCAACTCCTAATGAAGCTTCCCACCAACTATTAGCAAAAAGCCAAGATTTTCTGAAATTATGCCATGGAGGCCAGGCACATCACAGCTAGTGAAGCTTGCAACTCTGCAGTTCCTCAGTTACACAATGTGGTGACAAAAATATCTGGGTTCTGTCTACATGACAACTTCCACTTTCACTATTTCACTGTTTAAAATAGTATTAGTTATTCTTCCAGTCTTCTGGCTTCCCCACCAGCAAGGGCTGCTGCAACACCCCCAGGTCAGGCTACTCTGCTGGCACCTGTGAGTTTTCTGTACCTCTGTAAACGAGACTGGATGAAGTGCAGTCGCTCCTCTCTCAAGCTGCCTCCACACAGCTCCCCTATTCCTGGTACTAGAAGATCAACAGCTGCAACCTGTTGAAGAAAGAGAAGTGTAATATTAGTCAGGCCATGTAAGCACACAGTCTGCATCAAAAGATGGTTGATATTTAGAAGAAGGCAGCTAGTAAAAAACTACTGTAATCCTACTGAGTCCAGAACACTTTATTTACCATTGGCACATGCAGAGAAAGTCCCCTCATGACAGGAAGGGAGGACATTTTGATTGCACCAAATCAAGGAATCTGCTTGGCAGAAAACATTGGGAGGGGGCTGCATGCTGCAAATGGTGGAAATCAGTAAGTTTAGGTGAAACATAACCAGGGGCAGTGATGTTTTAGATGGAGGACATCTGCATCAGGTGCTGAGAACTGACCCGTGCCAGGTTACTCTCATGGGATAGCCCCCCATGTAGGCAAACCTGAAAAGGGTGCCAAGAACCTGCCAAGAACCTAAGAGCAACTCACGAGCTGGCAGACACACAGGCAAATTTTCTGGAGTCCCAATTTCCTTAGAGTTTAAGCTGCTCCAATACAAGCTGAAGTTGAAATGTGTTTGTCTTCTGCGCCCTCTCCTTGAGCCAGCTTTAGTGGTAATGATAGTGATGGATCGATAAGCTGAACTTAGTGTCAGGATCTGAGTGTTAGCACCCGCCTACGTGTTAGGTTTGGGCAGGTTTTCCTCTTTGTTTCATTTTGCAGGTTACCTTTCTCATCTCATAGCTGAACTGTCCCAAGAGTTGATGCAAACCAAGCAGCAGTGGTGAATGGTAGGCTAATCCCTCTTCAGTGGAAGCAAGGTTTGAGGGTGTCTCAGTTCAATTAGGAAATCACATTTCCATGCATAGGACTGGTCTCTATCTGCTATTTGAGGATTACATGGCACATACTTGGACAGAGGATCCACATGACAGAAGTGTGACAGAGCCATGCAATTCTCAGCATTTCACATAGCTGTACAAAAGTTTCTCAGGTCAGGAAATAACTGTGCCAAATCTGTCTTAAGAAATTAAAAAGATATACAAGCTTTCCCTGCTTAGATACCTCCTGAATCTTCATCTTGTTATTTCTGCTTTGGGGATTTCTTCTACGAAAAGACCGGAGAGGAGCGACTGAAGGACAGGTAGAAAATATCCTGATCTACCTACTAATCCACTAAGAAGATACCTAGGCAAAAAGGAGGTAGAATAATGACCACTGGACTCACCGTGTGTTGAGGCCCATCTTCGTTGTCCCGCATATAAAAAGGTTTGAGGTCATAGGGGTAGTTAATCACAAACAAGGGCACCTCACCGCAGTGCTTCACCAGGTACTTCTCATGTTCAGTTTGGAGGTCACAGCCCCACTGTGGAAAGAACAGAGAGAGACCTGGGATCCTGCTTCGGTGCATCTTGCCTGTGGCAAGAAACACAGCAAAATACCTGCACAAGAGAGACGTGCAGCTTTCAATAACGGGAAACAGAAACAGCAAGTTCTCACTGGGAAAATTGCTACGCAGAAAAACATAGTCCTACAGATTTAAAAGCAGAGCAAGGCCATGTGAACAACATGCTTTAACTTCAAGAGAGCAGGGCCAGATATCCCTGCATCAAGCCCAAGCATCTGATATCACACTGAAAGAAACAAAGAACAACAACAATAAGTTACTTCAGAGAGCGTAAGGGAAATAGGCACCCATCCAAAATTAGCTTACTCAACTCCTAAAGCCTCATTTCCGTATTACTTTTTGGTGCACAGAAGGCTCATTTGCTCAGTCCACTGCTCTCTTTCCTGCTGTGTCCTGTTACATGCTACATTAATTCTCACTTACGAAACCACAGTATCCTATCAACTAATTATTTGTTACTAGAAACTTTGGATGACCCCAATACCCTTCATCCCTCCTGCTTTCTTGCAGTGAAATGTTGTAAATTTGGTGGCTTTTGACTAGAAACTTCCAGATCCCTGTAGGAAATGCAAAGAATTTGCAGGGGCTGGGTGGGGAGAGACGTGTATATCTTGTTGACTCTCCCAGCCTCGACCAAACCCAACTTTGCTGGCCCAGGTCAAGGTAGAGATTTGACTGAGATGGTTCCTTTCAACTCTCTGCTCTGGGTACCCTCTATGTAGCCACCTGGGAAATCCACCCTCTTTGCAACAGAAATACAGCAGTGATTTGGGGGACGACATCATTAACATATTTTGTAGCTAGATTCACTTGTGGCTATAGAACAGTAGAACTCCCACTTTTACGGAGACACCAGCAAGTTACTCAAGGGACTATGAATCCCCTCAGACAGAGGGTCATGTTCCTTAGAAGCAGCAGCAGGAGACCAAGATTAAACAGGAAATATACGAGGTTGGTACTACCTCAGCTCTGTAGAGAGGGACCTGGGTGTCATGGTGGACGACAAGGTGACCATGAGGCAGCAGTGTGCCCTCGTGGTCAAGAAGGCCAATGGGATCCTGGGGTGCGTTAAGAAGAGGTGCTCTGGGTGACCCTGCTGGAGCTGGGGGGGTGGACTAGAAGATCTCTAGGGGTCCCTTCCAACCCTAAGCATTCTGTGCTTCTGTGAATGTGTCGTGAGTTAACCTGCTGGGTATTAAATTCTTGGGCTTTGTGGGTCGACTTCAAGAGGGGGCCGAGCCCTGCTAGTCCCCGCACATGAAAACAGGTGGGCCAGAACCAAGTGGAAAGTGTTTCTTACCAGTGAGGGTGCCAGAGCCCTGGAGCAGGCTGCCCAGAGAGGTTGTGGAGTCTCCTTCTCTGGAGATCTTCCAAACCCGCTTGGACACAGTCCTGTGCCACGTGCTCTAGGTGACCCTGTGTGTGCAGGGGGGTTGGACTAGATGATCTCTAGAGGTCCCTTCCAACCTTAAGCATTCTATGACTCTATGATTCTGCCTTGAACATTCTCCCTACCAGTGTATGTGTTTGAAACTGAGCAAAACATAATTTTCAAGAGAATATTATAGTGTCAGGAAGACTAACATGCAGTATTTTTTTCCCCAGGCAATAATTATCCCCTGAAAAAAAACAGTGGATCCCTTTACCTACATCTAGATCAGATGGTATTTGACATGGTTTTGCCTTATTAGTCCTTGTCAAACTCTTGGAGCTATCTGGGTACCACGCTGCTGTATGAGGGCTACTGCAGCAAGATGACTGCTCAGATGACTGCTGCTGAATCTACAACATATTTGGCACTATTTGCACATGGAAAGAGAGACATCTTTGCCAAGCCCTGATGTCCCAGCAGCAAACTCATCCTTTCCTTCCCTACAAATGTTACATGCCCCACTGCTACAAAATTCCCATTTCACCTTTCAAGGGTAATGGGTTTATCTGGGTTATGATTGACCAAAAACACTCAAGATAAATGCACTTCTGTTGAGTACCAATTCTGTCACAGCATCAGAAAGCAAAAAGCAGGTTTCCCCGAGATCCACCAAGTTCAGGCTGGCTGTGAGCACCAGCAGATGCAAGGAGAAGCAACCAGGCAATGACCTACCTCTGGCTTGAAAGTGAAGGTCTGAGCAGCTTGCTTCAAAATTTCCACTGCTTCACTGTAGGAAATTCTGAAATAAATAAATAAATAAATAAATAAGCTCTTTGAGATAACTGTGAAAGGAATAACAAGGAAGTTTTCTGGCAAAGAGCCACACTGGAAAATTAAGGAGGCATTTCTCTGCTACCAGGCTAACTTGTGCTGTGATGTCAGACTTCCCAGCAACACTTCTTTGGATGGAACCCAAAAAGCTACATTTTATATGGCAAGAACCCTACCTTTTTCCTGTGCTTCAGCTAGATGTAAGATGAGAAGCGCTGAGCTCTCAAGGCACTTTTGCATTACTGCAAAGGTGCATTTCAGCCAGAAGTGAGTTCTGACAAGCACTTTTTCATCTAAGCTTGATTTATTTTTAAGAAAATAACTTGCCATCACCAATACACACCATGTTCAGCACAACATCACATGAAAATAACAGACCAGGGTGCAAAAAGCCAGTAGCTCAAACATTTTCATTTTACTTTGCAAAAATCCCAATATTTTCTTTCAACAATGTTCCCTTGCTCCTCCAACAAAGTTATGGGAGCAGTTTCTCCAGAGACTTTTATCGAATCCTTCCCCATAAAGAAAAAAACATCAAGGTGGAGCAAAGAGAAATAGTGCAGCAAAAGATGCTGTAGGTCGGGTCACAGGAAATTGAGACTCAGTGGAAGATACTCTGCAGTATCTGCCAAGTTTTCCACCTACCTTGCAAATGTGGAGAGAGAGAACGATAACCTGGTCACAATTACTTCATCTCCCCGTATCACTGGCTAAGTCCAACTATAAATGAAGTTTCCTAAAGAACCTGAGTTCTACCCTCAACAAGGTTTCACTAATACATGGGAGGCTTCTGCAGGAAATACCTCTGGGAGGAACAGAGTGTCCCCCAGGTGGGGGTTGTATCATCCTGAGCTGTTGAATGGTTGAGGTTGGCAGGAACCTCTAGAGATCATCTAGTCCAAGCCCCTGCTCCAGCAGGGACACCCAGAGCACGGGGCACCTGGGCACATCCAGGTGGGTTTGAAGATCTCCAGAGCAGGAGACTCCACAGCCTCTCTGGGCAGCCTGTGCCAGGGCTCTGGCACCCTCACACCAAAGAAGTTCTTCCTCAGTAGGAAGAACTTTACCAGACCAGGTACCATTCATCTGGAATGTGTAAGCCAGGAGTGCCCCAGATTTGCCAGCACTTGAAGATGGGGTGACACCAAGTTAGAAAAAGAAAAATAAGGAGAGGGAGGTGGGATGTCACCCTCTTTCTTCTTGGACCACAGAAGAAGGTGAATATAACGCTGTCCTATCATGAATATATCAGGTGTCAAAGAGAGAAGGAATAAATAGGGCACAGAGATTCCCTTCAGAGGTCTCCAGGGGTGTCTGTGCATACAAAATGCACAAGGAGGCTCTACCATGATCCTGCTGCCAGAGGGTGCCTGTAGCTGCTTAACAGGAAAACCAGTGTTGGGTTGAGCAGCCTGACAAGGTATTTGGGGATGAATGCAGAATCTCTTCCTATTTCAGGAGGCAGTAACGGATGGGAAGAGGGGATATTCTTGGGAGCAGGAGGGCAAGAAGGAACCTTAAATCTCCTCTATTTGTTCCAGTTCTCCATGTGCGAAGGAGAGTAGCACAAGCATTTGGCAACAGAAAACCAACTATGGTTTTAAATAGCATAAAAAAGAGATTCAAAAAAAGGGAACTGTTAGAGGGAAGAAGTGAAAGGTAGCAGAGCTCCAACGCTGAAACCAAGGAAAAGAGTGGGCAAAGCTCTGCTCTGCTACGTGCTGGAAGGAGGATTTGGCCTCGGGAAGCAGATACAGATACCTTTTCTCATGAGTAGATGGAAGGGCGAGTAGCAAACAGCATAACAGCAATTGCTACTCATGCTTTTCAGAATACACTGATTTGGGAAAAGGAAAAGAAGATGTATAAAAAGCGGCCCCCCATAAAAACTCTTTAGGAACGTTTTGGAATAGAAGTACTTACGTCACAAATTTCTTCTTCAGCATTTGTTCCAACCTGTCCTTGGTAAAAAACAAGAAAAACAAAAGATGTAAAGCTACAACTAAGGGTTCGGGGTCCACTGAAAATGCAGAAAAGCCACCTCCCTGGAATTTCTGAGATGTAGGTCAAAAGCTACTACCAGTCACCCAGTGCTGAAAAAATACCTAGTTTTTTTGGAGCTGAGAAGTCAGAGAGGTGACCCTGTGTGTGCAGGGAGGTTGGACTAGATGACCTCTAGAGGTCCCTTCCAACCTTAAGCATTCTAGGATTCTATGAATTATTTCACACACACTAGCTATAGAAAATTGTGTGTCCTCTCCGTGCTGTCCTGAATGATCACAAAAGATGAGACTGATTTTTGGCTTTTCATAGTTAGCTAACACAGCACAGCCTATTAAAAAAAAATCTCCTATTGCCAAGAGCACCAAAATAGCATAAAAGGATTGCAACACTTTCCTGTTGCATTTATTACCTTCTGTGCAGGTGCTATATATTTTTGAAAAAGCTCAACATCATGAGGACATTTGGAGAGTACAGTGCTTGTTGCTGTCTTGAGCAGATCCTCCATAACCTAGAAAACAGAAGGGCATCCAAAATTAAAATTGTTTGATGTCCCAGACTCTACATAAAGCGTGTTGCACACATAAAGCATGGCAAACTGTAGAGGAGCTTCTGTCCTTTTGCATGGCCACACTGCACATGAAGGTACCAGTTTGCTAGTGCTTGCCACAGTTGAGGATTTATGAAACCTGTATTTCTGGGTTTAGGGTTTCAGTGTCTGCTGATACACCTGAAATATTCAAGCAGCAGCTCTCGTGCTGCCACAGCCTCAGCAACCCCTGGCCCTTAGCCACAAAACAAACACGTTATCACCATTTGTAGTGACTGGTCTCAAATTGATTATCAGTGAGATACCTTTCCCATAACGAGCAGTTCTGGTTTTCTGGTTTGTTTTTACAACAAGCAGAACTAAAGGAGAAGGGAATAAATGTTCCGGATAAAATCAGACAGATTTCAGAGAGATTGTGCAAAGTAAGAGCAAAGCAAAGGGATGAGTAGACAGCTAAAGTTGAGGGCACAAAAATAGAGATGTTTGAAGAATAAGAAAATGAAGAAAAAGATGTGGTTGAATTTCTCTAAACTGCTATTGCCCAGCTAAATGACATTAACATCCAATTTGGATATACCTATCTGTTATAATGGACTTCACTCATGAAGAAATTAAACAAGGGCTACTCATTTTAAATGGGAAAACAAAAAGCACCCAAAAGGGCTCTCAGTGCACTTTGATCACCCTGTTAAAGGGCCACTTGCCTGTTTGGTTATGCAAAGCAGACGAAGACAAGGGCTGTGGTGCTGGCAAATGAGCTCCCTTGACTCCCTGTAGCCCCACGCCTGCGTGAAGGGCCTGTGGAGCATCAATGCTCACAGCTTCCTCCTAAATTGCCCTCCTTTTTCTGCTCCTTGTATAAGAAAGACTGATGCAGCCTGACTGTGTTTCATCTCAACCTGGTAGGGGAGCAGGCGCCTTCCCCTTAAAAAATAGCTCTTCAAGTCCATGCACACTGCAGCTCTTTCTGTGAGCATAAGGGCTTTTTCAGTAACGGCAGAGTTGAGAGAAGCAAATTATCCACCAGTGATGTCCAAATGAACAGGTCCCCAGACAGGGAGACCAGGGAGACTAACGTGGAAAAGATGAATAGGACTTTTAGTTGGCAACGTGTTGGAGAAGCAGCAAGAAACTAGGGATACAGGGCAAAAATAACGCAAGATAAAGGAGAGAAGAAACCAGGCTGGTGACATGGCCATGACTAGATTTCAAGTCTACCGCCCAGGCTCCCAACTTTAGAAGGACATTCACTTTATCACCTGTCTCAACCTACTGAAATCAGCCAAGAGAAGCTGGTAAATCAGCTCCTATCTTGATTCCTCTGGAGCCAAATGCAGCTTTCAGACTCCCGCACGAATATGGACCCTGTTTAGAAAGGGAAGATCCAAATAAAGGAACAGCATTATCATATGCAGATGAATGGTTTTACCCCTACTGGTACTCAAACACGGAGGAAATGAAAAGGCAGCATTCATGCTGCTGACAGGCAAACAACCAAACAGCTTTGAACTTTCTTCAAAGTAGCTGGAAAAAGGCTTATGCAAATGAAATTAGAAAAGTTCTTGGCAATTCAGTTGGTTTCACCCAGGCAGAGACGAAGGCATTTTACATTAAGCTTCCTCTTTCTAGAAAATGAAAGTATCTGGTTTTAGAAAAGCACGTTGTTTAATTAGCACTTTTTTTCCCCCCTCACTGCGCGATAAAGTAACAATTAGGTTCCCACAGCACTCGACATAAGCAGCTTCCTCTTGTGGAAAAAACCTGTGGGTGGTATGGGAAAAACAATCTGAGAAATATTTCCAGGTTTGAGACTGAGGTTTTATCTTGGCAAAAAAGGCAGACACGTGGGTCAGGCATTGGCCTCCTCACTGCACTTACTCTTATTTACGCCAAATGTGTGTTAGGCACGAACACTAGGAAAAAAAAAAGAAAGAAAAGGAGAAAAAGAGCAAACTCTCCAACGCAGAGAAGTCGTGGCTTTAAGCAGATAGTATAATGAGGGGCTGGAAAGCAGCAGTTCAGAGGCACAGCCACTGGCTTGTTGGTTTGAGGGAGGGTGTGGGCTAGAGATGGGCCAACTGATCGGGTTGGAAAATATCCCGAAAGAGGCGTGTTTGCAATGTGGTTTATCCCAGGGAAGCCCTGGGGATCCCAGCAAGCAGCACGTCTTGGAGGTGGGGCTCTCCTTGCCGTTGGTCTTCTTGCTTCCTAAGGAAAATGTGGATTTTGAGGATGAACACGAAAGCTCCCCCTCATCTCTCCCAGCTTTTGTCCCTAGGTTCTCACTTTCAAAGGAGTTGAGCGGTATCAATCCTGGCCTGCCCTGTGGAACTTGTTGGATGTCTCTGATTTGGATTAGGAGCAGATCCCAACTGTATTTATTAGCACTGATCTGGGACTTTTGTCACTACAACTTATCCGCTTCGAAATGAAATTATGCTCAGAGTTAAAACAGAGAAAATTAGCAATAATGCAGCAGTAAATGTCAGGAGCAGCAATTGAAAGTGCTGTGCACAGCATGAAAGATCCAAATCATCTTATTATGCAAGATGTTTTCCAAATAAAATCACAAAAACTGCCTGTACATTTTTTGCCTAGGCATTTATCTGGGCTAGGTGTATCAGTGCAATGTAGACTACAGGGTATTTTGATATAAAGCACCAACTGGACCATTATTTGTCACCTTGGGGCTTGCTCACACACATAAAGGACACTCACATCCAAGCTCGGCCACCAAGTCCCTCTTCTGGCCATAGAGCCACCTGCTCAGGAGCTAAATTCCTGGAGGGTGAGGGTGACTCTCACTGCTACATGGTACAAAAACTCAACCTGTGCTTGATATACACCTGTTGCAAAGGCAGGATACGACCACGCAGTGTTGTTGCCCTGAAAGATGTTGCAAAACCATTATCTTGGAAAATAGGTTTAGGATTCAAGTGGAAAGCTTCTACTTCCTTTCTACAAAGAAAGGATTTGCCAGTAAAACAGAAGCCACTCATTTGCAAGGGGTAACCTCTTTGCATCTGCTGCAGTACACTGAAGCTACTGAAGCTTTTAAACCACTAGCACACCTGGAAATAAAATACTATTAAGGTTCCAAAGACAACTTTTTCAAATGGGAATTGAAATGGCACTGAAAAGGTAAAGCACTCACAATGCAAAGTATTCTGGAACCAAACGACATCATAGCTGAGGTCCCTCAAACTGCCCCCCTAAATCACTGCTCCTGTTTAATACGTTTCATGCCTGAATTCCCCTCTGTAAAATGGGGATAACAACGTTCTGTGTTCTGCAATGACAGCACTTTTGCCCTTAGAGAAAAGTTCAAATAATGTTTGTTACACTGTAGTCTCCTATTATGTACCTAGAGAGACAGCAGTGCTAGGATGCGGTTCTGTTATGTAGGAGTAACATAATGCACAAACTCCAAAAAGTGCCCGAGGCAAAATTTCCTCCTGGCATTTCCTAAATTTTCAGCATAAATCATGTCCCTTTACTAGGGTTTTGCACGTGCATTTGATGCCATACAGTAATGACGGCACCGCACGGCCTCCATCAGACCCCATTAGCATCATGAGTGAACTGGGGTCTTTAAATCCGCTGCACTGTCAAGGCTCAAAGGAGAACTGCAAGATAACGACTTGCAGAGACGCTGTGACATGGCACTGAGGAGAGCCAGGGGGAGCAAGCTGCTCAGAGGCACATGAGACTGCAGATCCTGGATTCCCAGTCCACACAGCAGAGGGGAGATGGCTCTGGTGAGCCCAAACTCTGTCATATAAGTTGCACCCTTCTTTTCTAACCTGACATTCTCCTATCGCCTCTGTTCGTCGATGAGTTTTGGGGAAGAGCGTCCTGAGGCAACTTGACTAGACTCTTTTGGAAAGAGGTTACAAAAGCTCTCCTCACACACCTTATTTAAAGAAGTAGTAATATCACCTACCACAGGAGACACGGAATACTGCGCCGAACACACTGAGCACGATGTGGCTTTCCACAGAAAGGATGTTGCAACGAGTATTGTGAGAATTTAAGCTTCTCTGCAGCATTCAAACGCATTTTGGCACAGCACCAATATTTAGACTACAGAATCAAGACACGGGAGACTTCCTAAGAACTGGGTTACTAATTTAGGAACAACTGAACATTTCTGTCTGCAATTAAAGTAGGAAAAAAAGGCCATCACTCTCAGAATGCTTAATGCTTGACTACATTTAACTTTGTTACTGCTCTTTTTCATGTTATTTTGTAAAGAAAGCCATATTTCTTTTGGAACTCTGGTGAGAGAAAGATCTCAAGCCTCAAATGGTATACAAGCAAATACTTCAAGATGTTTCTGAAGAAGCAGAGCATTCCCTGTACACTAACTTGCTGAAGCTGGAGATATTCACTCCAATTACTGAATGCAAGTTTTAAAAATAAGTTAAAACATGAAACAATCCAGCTCCTTATACAAGGACAAAGTTCAGATACTAACTCTGGCCAATCGCCTCCAAGGCTTTTAACTGGGTATTTTGTACCAAACAAAGACCTCGCAGATGACAACAAACAGGCAAACCGCCCAACACGCAGATACTTGAGGGAACACTAAATTTAGGTCAGTTATGTGGGGAAAAAGAAACTTAACATAGGATTTAGAGCAGCTGTCAGATTTTTTTTTAGTAGATTGTAGATTGCCCAATGATTCAAAATTAAACAAAACAGGAACTCAAGGGCTCTAAGTGAGAACATCACAAAAGTAAGCATGTTGCAATGTAGACTTGCGACGCAAAACTGCAGTTGCTAGACTTTCTGTTATAGGAAAAGGATGCCTGTCAAGGCCTTTGGGTTAGGGGAAGAAGAAGGCGAAGAGTACAAGTCAGAAACTTCACAAAATATTTAGCAACAGTAAAAATAAAAATGCAACAAAGGCCCTGTGTTTTCCAGAACAATTCTCACATCTAGTTCTCTGAATCCTTTGCACCAACTGGCTATACCACAAGCCAAGAAGTTAGGATTCTCAGTGAAAGAGGACAGAGATGTTTATGCCGTGTCCAAGGGCTGCAATATCCCTTAACAGAAAGCCCTGCTTATTCTGCTAGATAAAAGTAGTGGAGCTTACGCTTAGCTCCCGCTTGCTCAGAGAAACGGGGGCTCAGGAAGCTCAGGCACAGATCACACCATATGTATGACTTGAACACAAAAGTGTTTTTGAGAAAAGGAGAGAGAAATTAAAGAGGAGGATATTATCAATAAGGGAGGACAGAGATTTCCAATGGCTCTGCCCACACAGCTCAGTGTCTTGGAGATGTCCAAAATATAAGTACTGAGCATCACTGGCACACAGGAGATAGGATATGTCAGCTTTGTTGTTGGGTTATGTCAAGTAGAAACTCCCTCCTGAACGTTATTTTATACTTCTGTAGCCAGTGCTTTTTGTCTGCTTTATAAGATACTTCTGCAACAGTCCTCCAGAGAACTTACCTGATATCAGGGTGTGCATGTGATGTTTACTCACAAGGCCTGTGGGGCACAAGCTGGCTCGTGCTGAGCCTACTAAGATGCATTAGCATCTGTCATGTGGTTAACCCACAACCGGGAGGTCAATCCTGGATAATCGAGAGCTGACCGTGAGCATTTTAGTCTTCTACTAGAGTCACAGTGAGCAGGGCCTGCCCGGAATTGCTGGTTCTATGTTAGATTTCAACACAGATATAAAGGAACTCTTTGCAGAGCACTCTGAGGCACCCATTACACAAACACTACTCACATTTACTGGAGAGGTGCTGGAGGTTTGGAAGGGGAGAGCAGCACGTGTTAGCACCAACGTACCATGCACGTTTACACACCTCCTAGCAAGGGTACAGAGGAATTCACACTGTGGCTGTGTTCAGGCCTATCCCTTCCCTCCCAAATCCCCTCCAAGGCTCTGAATGAACCCTGGTCCTTGGGAAGCCCCTGTGTCCCCACCAGGACCAGGACAAGGTAAGAGGAACTGCAGCCTGGGTTGAGGGCAGGGATCACAGCTAAGCAGGAGGGCTTTTTTAATGATGGTTCCATCTTGGAGATACCCACCTGCGTGATGTCCTGAAGGCTCTCAGTAAAGGACAGTTCAGCCTCTACCATATAAAACTCTGCCAGATGCCTGCGACTCTGGGAGTTTTCAGCTCGAAATGTTGGGCCGAAGGTGAACACGTGGGTAAAGGCCCTGCAAGGCGACAAGAAACAGGTTGGTCAAGCAACGCAGTCAGGCCCTGCACACAAACGTGTCCCCTGTCCTATAACCCCCGTCAGCAAACTCTCTTTTCTCTAGAAAAGTGCATCTCTAGATCCGTTTTATTTCTGACCAGCGTAATGGCCCTGCTGTGTTTACTGCCACTGTTGGGTTCCATCATTGGGGTGAGGAGCTACTCGATCCCTTCCATGTCTAAGTGAGGTCGCACAGGCCTTGCTCATCTTTCACTGGACATCTTTTATTCTTGGAACACTTTCTGTGACAATCTGGGAATAAAAACTAGTAATCTGCAGAATTGGAGGAGCACTGGGATGTCATACTAGTCAGGACAGCCAGACTTTCCCTGTCCATATATTTGTTTCGCTGCAGATTGATAGGTGCTGTAATACCCCAAAGCCTGAGAAGGCCAAAAAGGCCCCACAACTGGTACTGCTGGACTCACACCAGCAGTGGTGGCAAAGCCTGGGGTGGATGTACAGCAGGATGATGCATGGAGTGCGGCTTGCAGTCCCCCTCTAGTGGCAAGACCAAATTTCATGGTTGAAAGTGCCTGTGCTAATGAACTTGTGTCTTTCCACACAGCTGAAGAGGCTCCAAATAAATGGGTCCCTACTACAGAGAACAGATTTGGGATGGAATCTTATGCAGAAGCAAGCAATGCACTTCCTACCGTGAAATTATTTTTCCAGCAACCTTATGGGGAGTCTGTTGGATGGGACACTGGAGACACATTCTCCTGTGCTCATTTCAAGGAGGCTGCAAGAACCTTCTTCATTTCTTCTTGACAAAAATCCCTCTCAGGAAACAGCAGCTACCTTTAAAGCTCCATTTCCACCGTGGCGAAGCTGCACTCTCTGCAACATGTTTTATGTTGGAGGTGCTAGTGCAAAGCTCCTGGATATGGAATGCTGCCTTGGAAAACCCACGGATGGGCAGCTGCTCCCTCCAGATCATCTCAAGCTGCCGTTATTTGTGGCACTAGGCAGCATGCATGAGAAAAAGGACCTGGATGGAGATTAAGCTCAGTTTAAGACTCAAGCAAGGACGTGAGCAAACTGCTGGCGTTGTCATTTAACTCGCATCTTGTAATCCTACAACTGAAAAGGGAAGTTTGCTGGAGTTTCTGCACAGTGTAGTTCTGCTACCAAAAGTTATATTTTTCCTTTGTTCTTTACGGAGTCATTGGCGCTACCAATAAAGGAACAGGCACGTTCTGGTTCATTCACCTTTTCCTTAACGTCACAGACAAGGTTATGAGCTAAAGAAGCTGCAGTTTCATTTTCCTCGAGTTGCTGGCAGTAAAAACACTAAAAGGCTCTACCAGGAACAGGCAGCTTGCAGGTATCTCTTCCTCACCAGCTCTGCTTTCCTTGCTCCCACAAACACATTCTCTCCTCAGTTTCAGAGCCCTTTGCTCCTGCCCCGTGCACTCTCACACACAATCACAGCCCCTTTGGTGTTAACCTCTGCTGCTCGTTTGCTGGATTTTGCAGCAAACACCTTTCATCAGGCAGCGTTTTGGGCACGTACCTTCTCCCCATGCTGCCTTGTGGCTTGACCCTGTAAACTTCTGCCGTCATTTAATCACCCTCCTTTGAACTGTCCTTTGCTATAGTGTCTATAAAAACCTCAGCAATGTTCAGATAACTGATGCACCACGACTACTGCTCACTGCACAGGTCAGTATTATCTCATTAGATCCTCGTGCTCCCCCATCTGCAGCCATCTGTTGTCTCGGGTTATGGAGAAATTCACATTCTTCCTCATAAGGTCCTTGTGTTACTTTTTTTCAGGCTCTTACAAGAGCACCTGGCACAACAAGGTCTTGGATGCAAAGCTCAACTGCTATAGCAATACAAACAACAAATATGAAACAATGAGTCACTCAACGAAAACAGATTAATGTTTAAAGCAGAACTGGCCCAAAACCTCTTTGCCATGGCACTTCAGAGGACAGAAAGGCTGGTCTGCAGTAGCAAAGAGGAGCTGCAGGCCCTCCTGACACCTGAGCTAGGGTTTTCGTCTCTTGCTAAAGTATTTCAGTTTGGGGCTCTTTGGTTAAAGACCAAATTTACCCTAAATAAATCAGGTTTGTTGGAAGTTCGCTTCGTGACTAGACCAGGATGGGACAGAAGACAAAAACGCTTTGAAGAGCTTGCAAATGCAGCAGCACACACCAGCGCCCATCGGCTTGACGTGCAGGCTTCCAACTTGTCCCTGGCACGGAGAGAAGCCTCAAAAAGCAACACCTAAAACTAATGTGTGACACCAGCTGGCGAGCAGCAGCTCCCCTGCTACAAAGCAGCAGCCTGGCTTCAGCAAGGCACGTTCTCAACGTCTGCCCAGGCACAGGCCCTTGCACTTCAGTAAATACAAGGCCACAGGCTGCTACAAACACTGTGAACTACCCTTATTCCCTACTGAACGTCAGCCGAGGCAGCACCTCTAGGTGCTTATCTTCCCAGAGGCTCTGTGGCAGCAAAATACCTAAAAAAGTTAAGATATCTGAGAAAAAGAAAGTTAAAAAAGTATTTCTCTTGCTCCAAGAGAGCAAATGTGGTCAAGCATTTCACCATCACGGCTGTATTTTTCTTTTTTTCCTGCAGGAATAAAGCTGCTCTCTGCCAGAGATGGACTTTTTGGGGAAGAAAGGCAGAAAAGTTTTGATTTTGGAGTCTTTGTGCAGTTCTGGACATCCAGCCATAATCAATTTTGTCTTGCATAAATACTGAGCATCAGGTACAAGGTGCAGCACGGATGAGGGGTTTGTAATAGTCTGTAAGGAACAAGGCTGCTTATCCCTTGGAGGGGGAAGAGCAGAAAAAAAAAAGGGGTGGAGAAACCCCCCTCATTTAGGTTGAATTGAATGAAAGGATTCCATTCTCAGGCTGATTTTGAAGAAAAAAAGAAAAAAGAAAGACACAAATTCATCAGAGTTGTGGGACTTTGGCAGGGAGAAAGCAGCCAGACATCACCCTGGCAAAGTGATCAAAGGAGGGCAGCAGATGCAAGTCCTCTGTTACTGGTAGCACAGCCCTGGTCAGAGGCTTTGACATAACTGAGGAACACAGTAAAGATACATATAGTCAATGTTATCTACTCTATGCCTGAGCAACTATTTTTCATCCAGGCATTCACAGTGTTTCCTGTACTCTGACATTCAAGGCATTAAATAAATACGTTAGATTAGTCTGACCTTTATTTGCACTTCATCTGCTATTAAAAAATGCATCTGTGATTTGATACACTGCTGCATCATCCTGAGCATTTCCCATTATACTAGAAAACAGAGTGACTAGAGCTGAATCTGCTCCAATTTCATGGCTGTGAGGGCAAAAACAGTCATTTTGTGCATTGAGCACCTAGCACAACGGCTCCATTAGTCCAGGGTTGTGACTCCTATGCTCTGTGATGCTAATAATTAATCATTTACATTTCCAGACCTTTGTAAGGCTTCCAGCATTTAAAAATAACTTGAAAATGCTGGCTTAATCTCCAGAAGTGCCTTGGCCAGTTGGGCTGCGGGCACTCGAGAGCCTTTCAACAACCCACAGTGCCAACTCCTCCTCTCCAACCGGAGCACACACACAAGGGAGGGAAACAACTGAACCCGATGAGTTTTCTCTTAGTCACTGCAGCAGCAGTGTCGGTCACGCTGTCCTCGTATGTGCCACCAAAGAACACAAGAGAGGCTTTGAAACGAGCCCCTTTGCAGCCAGCTCCTGCAGATCCCAAGCACTTCTACGCAGTTCACAGGCCTGAGAGCAGGAGGAGGCACAAGAGACGTTTCATTAATTGCTGCCTTTCTCAGGCTGGATTTCGCTCTATCCGGTTCCCTGGGAAAAAAAACCCTGAGAACTGAACGCGGAGGCCAACGCAGCATTCACAGCAGTGACACGCAGGGACACTGCAACAAGCAGGAGCCCTGCTCCCTGCTGAGCCTGCCCGCGCCAGCCCAGCTCCGTCACCCTGTAGGAAGCGGCTTGGAGAATCCCATGGGAGCAGCCGGGAGGGCTCGCACGCTCCGCGGCAGCACGGCCGCCCTCGGCACCCACAATAAAGGCCACTGGCCCAGGCTCATCCTTCACAAGCTGCACTTGGGCTCTCCATCCCGAGAAGAGCCATGAAAGGTCTCCTTTTTCACCCTTATTTTGCAATCTGCCAGAACACTCTTCAAAAACAGCTACTCCTCCCCTTTGAGGAAAAAAGTCTCATTCCATTCAAACTCATTAACAATTAATTTTGAAGATGGAGATAGAAACCAATAGAGAAGCATCAAGTATCTATGCCCAAAGCTGCTCAGGATCACCCTTTTAATTAAACCCACGCAATACTTGCAGGCCTCCGTGTCTCTGCCTTCCTGGTGATTTTTACATGGCAATTGCAATATAATTAATTGTGCTGATGGTTCTCAAGGCAGGGAAGGGCTGCGCTCTCATTCTGTGAGCCAGGACTCCACACCACTACCCAGGGTAATAAAGACTTATTTGTGCTGTTGAACCACGGGGATATAATCCCGAACAAGGCCATTAATCAGGAAGATGCAATTCCTGCACAGTCAGCATACAGCAAGGTCACGCAACACGTTGGCAACACAGACGGGCACAGAGGCCACTCGATGCGACTCGGCTAAGCACTAAACCACACACATAGAGGCAGCTTTCTGGCATAAATGCAGCTATTTGAGCTCATTCTCATCCCCGAACAGCAGAGGTGCCTGCACAAACACAAAGGGAGCGATCGCTCTGAGGCTGTCTGCAGCGCGGAGTTGAGCGGGCAGGGGATTTGTGCCAAGCTGGAGCCAGCTCTTATCTTTGGCCACCCCACGTGAGCCCAGCACGTGGCACTTCAACACGGCCCGTTCCCTCTCATGGTCATTCACCAGCACCCACATGCTTGAGAAGTTAGATCAAAAGAAAACCTAGAAATAATGGTAACGAAGACAAAAGCAAAGCAGCGCTTGAGAGCAGCAG